CTTCAATGCATTTGGTCCCTTAAAATGTGAGCAAAAAGGCAGCATATTCATGCTGTACATTTTGGAGCAACCTTTGCATGCATACACATATAGGCGGGTTTTAACTTTAATTTAGTCAATAAACCAAAACGACAGATATGAAACAAGAAGAGATGTTTCCACTGCACAATAAGCACACAGTCCGCGGGGAACAGCGGCGCAGCTGTAACGCATTGCCGGCGCTGTAACAGAACCACTTTAATAAAGGGTCCGCAATCGGGCCCCTCCGCGGGATTCTGTCAACCTGAGGGCCAAAGCTCCCGTGCAGAGCCAAGGAAGAGTGACAGCATGCAAACGGCAGCAGATAATCACTACAGGAGGGGGAGACGCAGCGAAACAGCCCCCGAAACATGTGGAGCCCTTGCATGTGATGCGACATGACTTCTGCTATTCTTAACCGCATGCTCCTGTGGCGCTTCTCCACGAGCTGGCGGTGACGTGACGAAGGCATGTCTGACATCGCGTCTTGCTCTCTGATGCGCCTCTGGCTGTGTGAAAGCAAATCTGAGCATCTTCTTCACCCACAGCTGCTTGCAGTGCCGCACCGGCCGTAAACAACGACTTCACACGGCCAACAGCCTCCTGCGCCCGCCAACATTAGCACTGCTCAGCTCTAGTTAGAGTGAATTGCAGGCAGTTTCGTTTGGTGGTTGTCGGTAAATGTAGTGTATTGCTGAGTGCTGGTCTGTGTGTGTGTGTGTGTGCAGGATGACAGACAGCTGGAGGTTCCTGAGGGCCACTGGACCCGCTGCGTCCTGATGTGAAAAAACCTCAGGCCTCACGCTGCTAATGTGAGAGAAACGTTATGAGCTAAAACTAAAACTATAAAAATCGTTTCTGTTAATTCGAATAAAACTGAAATAAAATACAATAGCTATAAGTATTACATGAAAACATTTAACTAAAGTAAAATATTGCAATGTTGCCTTGGCTACTAAATGAAATAAAATAAGTTTAAGTACAAACACTAAAACTGAAAATAATAATAATAATAAAATGACAAAAGCAAAGATAAACTAAAATGAAAATGAAATTTGAATTACTGATTAAGATGAATTCATGCATCCAAAGTTTTAAATTAAAGGCTTTACAAATAATACTACCATATGTTTTACAATACAGTACAATTTTATTACGGCTCTCTCTCTCTCTGTGTGTGTGTGTGTGTGTGTGTGTGTGTGTGTGTGAAGAGCAACTCTCAACCTACAGTGAGTTTCAGTGCTGCTGATGTCCAGGATCAGAGATTGTTTGATCTGAATATGAAATGTTTGATCCTTATGAAATGAGATTTCGACAGAATCATCCAAAGAGACCTATAGCAGTCTGATGAGGGGCACAAAAATTAAACATGGCAATCAAACACAACTGATTACAGCATTAAAATATACTTTAATAGTGAATAGTGAAATGTTGAAGTTGAAGTGGTTTAAAAACGTTCTCCTATTGCAGTTAAATACACAGACAGCTATAAATAAATTGCTTGAATCATGAAATGAATATAGACCCTCAGTTACTTTTACTTTGTTATTAACCTTTATTTCCACCATGTTAATATCATGTTTTCTGGACCCTGATAAAATATGGTATTCTTTGAAGTTTGAAGTAAATAGCATGGTATATGGATATGATAATCATTCAGTACCATGGTACATATTAAAGTTTGGTTAAGATAATGCCATGTTTTTGAAACATTTTAGAGTGGTCTACTGTGTCAATACCATGGTAATTGATTTTGGTAATCATGCAGTACCATGTTTTTCAGTAGACTTGGACACTTATCTTACTTGCTCACAAAAAAACAAACAAACAAAAAAAACACAGTGAGTACAAACATTTAAAAAAATATATGCAACAATTAAATAGTATAACAACTGTCCCCACAATTTCTATTCATTTTGAAAATGTTAAATATAATTTATTTATTCAACAATTAACATATCAGAACAATCATATTAAACAAACGACATATAGGCAAGATAGCAAAGTATGTGACCTATTGAAATGTATGTCATTTCTGGTTATTAAATGTTAAATTCAATATTCAAACATATGTAATTCTGAAATACTAAATTTGCTCCAGTGATGAATTCTGTTAACTTTCATGGTATATGAATATTTGAATCATTCTGTCAATTTTTTGATGTCAATCAGCATAAAACAAATACTGCTATGTTGTATAAATACTTTTTAAATAATGTTCAATTTGCAAGTTTTTCATGTTACATGAATGAGAATGATGAGATTTACCCATTAAATTATGTTTAAGCAAAATATGAATAATACATGTAGTAATTTTGATTTTGGCATGAAATATGGCCTGCATATGTTCTTTCATTGTTTTCTCCTCCTTGCAGAGCCGCAGTGTCACTGACGGTGAAGGACAGAAAACACTCTCACTTCATTATAATTGCTTTTGTAATGTTTCACAATAGAGTAATTTCAGAATGAACCTCCACACACACACACACACACACACACACACACACACGATCCTCCACTGACCTGTCCTACTTATCCCGCCTTACAGAAAGTTGAATTCAAATTACCAGTTTAAATTAATTTTTGATATGTAAAACATTGCCCTGCATACTAATATGATATTATATTTTTATACAATAAAGAAAGTTCATGGTAAGTAATTAAAGGCGGCTACCTCATTTTTAATATAAAGGAACATGTTGTAGATGTAATCATGATTTCTGTACAATAGAGGGAATGATCAGTACTAAACTGCATTAATTTATTTTCAAATGGGCCAAATTTGACCCTTCATTATTTGAAAAAAATAACATCAGAGTAATTTTTGACTGATGGTCTTCTTTTCTTTATCTTTTTTCATTTTTCAAAAGCTATGAGATCAACAAGATCACACAGGTACTGGTATTGGTACTGGTAAATAAAAATTATTTATTTATTCTTTATGATATCGGTGATATTTTTAATGTAATTGTGCTCAGATTTTTTGTCATTTGCTATTTTCTTCACAAACTGTTAAGAACTGTTTTTTTTTTTTTAATATAGGTTGTTTTAACACCAGAACAACAAAATGGTTTCTGCATTAATGTGCAAAATATGTTTTTGGTATATATTTTCTCAACGTTGTCAGCTGGCAACATGAGATTATTGATTGAAGTGAAAATCAGTTAAAAGCATCCTGTATGTTCAGATTTTTTAATATTTAGATAAATATGTGACATGATATTTTATGACATAATATCTATGTGATGGTGTCAACATATATTGAGTGATGGGCAAGGAAACAGTTTTGTGAAAAAATAAAAAGAAGCAGAGATGCACACAAACACCTCTGAACATGTCGAACCAATTCATCTAAAAAATATTTTTTATTTTGCACTTCTGAAATGTGTTCACTCTTTTCCATCCCTCACATTCAATTTCACGTGTTAATCACATATGTGCACATCTTAAATTCACATGCTCTTGTTTAATCACATGAAAATAATGTGAAACACTGAGAGCAGATGTGTGGCTTCAGCAGAACTAATGGAGATTCTGCTAATGTTACACTGTCATCTAGAGGCAGCAGTGAGAACACCAAAGATTTAAAGGGTTAGTTCACCCAAAAAAGAAGCTTCTGTCATTAATTACTCCTATCCTGTATGACTTTTGTCCAGCTAAAAAACAAGCCCATAATCCAAAATCACGCTTCATCCAGTGAAAAAGTCCATCCCCTGCTGTCTCTCACATTAAAATCCACATATTTGTTGAACTGTTTTGGACTGTTTTCTCTCGTAAACGGTTCTTGATCTGTGCAGATTTCTTTCCTGATTCAGATTAGACGACTTTCTCCCTGGAGAAACCAGTTTTGTGGATAGAGGACTCGTATTTTGGCCAGAAGCAACAGTTTGAAGTTAAAAATTATGGATTTGTTTATTACAAATATGCAGCTTTTCACTTCACAAGATGTTAACTGCTGGACTGGAGTGGTGAGGATTACTTGTGGATTATTGTGATGTATTTATCAGCTGTTTGGACTCTCATTCTGACGGCACCCATTCACTGCAGAGCATCTATTGCTGAGGAAGTGATGCAATGCTACATTTCTCCAAATCTGATGAAGAAACAAACTCATCTACATTTCGGATGACCTGAGGGTGAGAACATTTTCAGCAAATGTTCATTTTTAGATGAACTATTCCTTTAATGCGAAACACACCAGACATAAAGAAGAGATAATGTATCCACAAAAAATTGTCATGTGAACGTAACATTACCTGTGGATTTAGAGGATACAAAGTCAAGAATCTCTGTGCCGAGAATTAAATTGTGATAGAGCTCAGTTTGTTTGAAGAAAATCTAACCATTTAAGAAATGCTCCAGTGTTTACCTGACAGTAAATATATTTACAGATATGAAATGTTTTGGCCAACAGCTATTGTGGTCTGGTTAATATTCTACCTGAGCAAAGGGCACATTTGGCCACATTAACCACTTGTTTTCTTCGAGCATGTAGAGAGGCCTTTGCCCAAACACCTAAAAACAGGACAAACATGTGTGATCCGTCCAAGATAACCAGCTCATTAAAGATTTGAAAATCAAGAGCAGATATAAGATTTCATCTTACTGGATGATTTAGAAATGTATTGAATAAATCCACAAAAACTTCATCTTTCAGGAGAAACTTGAGTTCCATGTTGATGCTTTTCTCTGCATAGAATAGTTTTCTGTTGCTTTGGCAACGCTATTATTTACTCCTCTTCTGCTTAGAATCGTTGTACTTTTAGTTTTATTTTAAAATTAAATAAATACAAAATCTAAACATAACGTTTATCTCTCACTGCCGTGGTCGAGGTGTGTTTTAGAATGACACAATTGTGTTGTTATATAATTCCTATTTAATTTAATGTAAAAACAGTTTATTAGCAGGACTGAATATTTTGTACGATTATGTATTGTTGTTATTATTATTATGGAGACGCGCGCAGACGTGTGTGGCGTCACATCCGGTCGCGGCCTCCGCAGCGGTCTTCCTCATCCTGAAGGAGTCCGTCAGCGAGTAGCCGGACCGTCAGCGAATTAAACATCATTTTAGCTCTCGGGGACCGAATTAAAGTATATTTGCGCACTCCGAATTTGAAGTAAACACTATCGGCGTGTTCAGACCGTGAATGGATCATGGAGTGTGTAAGTAGTGCGAGTTTAAACTGAGACAGAGTTGATCTGACAGACGAGAGAAATTAAATTAACGGCGGTTTTTTGTTTGTTTGTCACTGTGTTCAAATATGCGAAATAACTAATATCGGTAAAAATGTTGAGATAGAGCCTAAGTGTTATTAGTAGGGCGACTGTATGTGTCGTGTAGTATTTTCCATTCATATGAAGCCAGTTATACTTGCGTTAGTGCTGTGCTGCTAGTTTAGGGCAGTTAAACTAGTACTGAGTTTACTGCAGTTACTATAATATCGCTCAGATTTACTGCTGCTACTCTAAGTTAGTAACTACTTCGTTAGTTTACTCTTGTTATTCTAGTATGGTGTCAGTTTTCTGTTACACTAGTAGTGCTGTATTTTCTGCTGTGTTTATCTTATTATCAGTGTTTATCTTAACATAATATTGGAGCTAGTAAGTTTCTCAGATCTTCTGTCAGCTTTCTCAGTTATTGGTCTCAGAGGAACATACAGCTCAAGCTTTGAAGTTAGACTCTAAATGTCTGAAGCTATGGAGTAAAACAAAAAGAGAGTGTATTAGTGTATAAGAACTTGAATACTTTAACCCTCCTGTGATGTCTGGGGTCAAAAAAGCAACTGACTTAAAAAAAAAAAAATATATATATATATATATAATATTTTTAAACCTTGAATCTTTCTGTCTTTTGCTAAATGTATTAGACACATTCATAAACATGAATCTTGTGTTACAAAGTTTTTAAAATGGCTGTGCACATTTTGACCCATTTGGTGATGTCTGCTGTCATTTTGACCCCTTCACTTTTGTTTTTGGTGAAAAAAAAAGATTAAACATTAAATGCAGAATAAATGTCTGTTGTGTTTTATCTCTCTCATGATGGCCTCTCATGACAAAATATCTGAGTAAATATCATTTATGCCTTGGCATAAGTTTACATTTTACTATTATTGTACTGCATATGAAAGCCAAATTTTGTCCTTTTCAGAGTTTCATATACCTTTATACTATTTCATACAATAATGTGCTTACAAACACTGTACACACATTTTTACAAGTATCTATCAAAAATGATTGTTGTTGGGTTTCCATATTATATGGAGACTTTCCTAAATATTTCCATAATAATTTTTATACTGTACTAACTGTGTTTTCATTCCCAAACCATACTCCTCACACAAAACTTTCTGCCTTTTTACATTTGCAAAAACAAAAAACAAGCTGTTTTCCTCATTGGGACATTGACTGTCATTCAGAATCAGAATCAGAATGAGCTTTATTGCCAGGTATGTTTACACATACGAGGAATTTGTTTTCGTGACAGAAGCTTCCGCAGTGTAACAGAATGACAGTGACAGAACAAAAAAACACAGATAATAAAAAATAAAAAAAATAGAACAAGTAAATAAGGAATAAAAATATATAAATTGACAATTGTATGTGCAGGTATATTACAATAGACAGTTTTTGCATGTAAAGGTACTGTATATTATGTGCAAATTTGAGGTGTAGACTGAGTATGAGTGTTAGATAAATAAGTGTATGAGTGTATAAATAGTGTGTGTTCCACAGTTATTGTCAAGTGTTCATGAGATGGATGGCCTGAGGGAAGAAACTGTTCCTGTGTCTGGCCGTTCTGGTGCTCAGAGCTCTGTAGCGTCGACCAGATGGCAACAGTTCAAAGAGGGAGTGTGCTGGATGTGAGGGGTCCAGAGTATTCTCTGTCTAAAGAAAAATTAGTGATTTAAAGGAGCAAATCTCAGAAACTGAGAACAATGTTTTTTTTGTAAATGAAGCAAATAAATAAATAAAATATATAAAAAACAAAAAGTTATGTTTTGTCCTAAAATGTATTTAAAATATCGGGTAGGTGAAATGTAAGTAAGTAAAAATAAATTATATTGTCAATTTGAGTAATTTATTGACATATTGAGTATTTGGGGTCAGTTTGACCACACACATTAAAAACATGGTTGAAATGTGCACATAACAGGAGGGTTAACACAAGCAGAAATGTCCTGCTGTTAACTCCTCTGGCTAATATGTATTTACTAGACACATTCTAGCCTTTGTTCAGTTTAGAATAACAACTCGGATTTAACTTATTGTTAACCCTCTCCTAACTCAATTTTCAGAGGCCTCTAAATGATCAACATGATCAAAAAAACTAAATCTACTACATGCCTTCTGTCGTCTGATTGATAGTTTATACTGTTTTAGCAAGGAAAAGGCCTTTTAGTATCATTGTACAAAGTCCACCTTCAGGTTGTTCAGGTCTTTTTGCTGTGAAATCTTTACAGATTTTTATATAGTAAGCATAAAAATAACGTTGATACTGCCATTTCAAAATGAACACTTACTGGACCGAAGCAACTTCGGTTTACTTGAGTATACAGTACATGCATACTTTTTTTGAAAAATCTGTGAGTATCAAATATGATCATCAGGCTTTTGAGGAATTTTGTTACATGTTGTCTAAAGGTTCAGTAAACTTCCCTTTAAAAATGTGATTTTTTAAAAACGATTAATTCATTTGTCAGGATTTACAGGGTTAATCAGGAATTATCACATTTTTAAGGGAAAAAACAAAAATGAGCTTTGAATGTTCACACATTGACACCTGTTTTTCAGGTTCCTGCTGTTCTAGATGAGTTGGATGGTAAAAAGGAGGTGCACATAGAGGGTAAGAATGTGAATAAATAAAGATGAGACTGTAGTCCTGCGATCACCTGCAGCTCATGTGTGAGATATGAAAGCAGAGCCGAGCAGGGCTTTGACTTCAGTGTTTGGAGTGAAATCTGAGACTAAAGTGACAGCAAAAGTATCCTGTGACACTTTGTACTCTGACATGTTTTCGCTCAAATTTTCATTGGTTGTTTTTAATGCTTGCTCGTGATTTAATGTTTTAGACTTTTTTTCAGGTTTGGTTTTTCCCTCTCTTTGAAACCAGATCCTGAGTATAATGTGTACACCCGCTTCATGAAGTCCCACCGCTGCTATGACCTGGTGCCCACCAGCTCAAAGTTGGTGGTTTTCGACACTTCTCTACAGGTGGGTACTCGGAAGAAAACAAATGTTGTTACTTGTGCAACCTTGATTACAACCCATGCATTTCCATAATATTTTCATATTTCTGTGTGAAAAAAGGCAAACTTGATTTTACTTACTATTAAAGCAACAGTTCACCCAAAAATGAAAGCTTGATGAAAATGTGCTCACCCTCAGGTCATCCAAGATGTAGATGAGGTTGTTTCTTCTTGGGATCAGATTTGGAGAAATGTAGCATTGCATCACTTGCTCAGCAATGGATGCTCTGCAGTGAATGGGTGCCGTCAGAATGAGAGTCCAAACAGCTGATAAAAACATCACAATAATCCACAAGTAATCCACACCACTCCAGTCCATCAGTTAACATCTCGTGAAACCAAAAGCTGCATGTTTGTAAGAAACAAATCAATCAAGATATCATCAGCTGTTTGGACTCTCATTCTGACGGCACCCATTCACTGCAGAGGATCCATTGGTGAGCAAATGATGCAATGCTACATTTCTCCAAATCTGATCCCATGAAGAAACAAACTCATCTACATCTTGGATGGCCTGAAGGAGAGGACATTTTCATGTTTGGATGAACAATTCCTATAATTAATTAGATATGTAAAGTGTCCGTTCCACTCCATAATAAAGCCAGACTGAATGTGCATTTGCTAAAACCATGGCTAAATAGCATTTTGACTATTTTTTAAACATTATTTATATAACAAGTGATGTTAGCAGGAAAGGTAAATTGTTTAAGAGAAAGAACACAGTATTACATTTTGATAAACACACACACACACACACACACACACACACACACATACACAATATTTGGAATGATATGAATAATTGATATTAGGACCAGGCACATGCCTGAAGAAATGTGGTCAGTATTGATTTCATGTTGACTTTAGGGGTTGGATATATTTGCTCTGTACTTTGTGTCAACATTCATGACATTTAAGCTGTTTGAGGGCCTGCTGCTTAATTTATGATTGTATGGTTACCAGGTGAAGAAGGCGTTCTTTGCTCTAGTGTCTAATGGGGTGAGAGCAGCGCCTCTCTGGGACAGCAAGAAGCAATGCTTTGTTGGTAAGCAAACTTTTTTTTTTGGTGAATTTTAATTTATTGTTATTATTTGTGACTATACGATATATATATATGTGTGTGTGTATATCAGTGTTAATTTCGTTGATGAATAATTTTCGTCATAATTTTCGTCAACGACATTTTTTTTCGCCGACGATAACGAACTAAAACTCTTTTTGAACGACAAAAACGATGACGTAAATCTATTGACATTTTTGTCGATTAAAAACGAGACGAAAATGTTAGGGAGGGACGATTTGGAAAGAGATTCATTCAGAACGAATCTGCTGCGTGGTTCGGAGGTTAGATGCGTACATATGAACCGGCGGGACATAAGCTAACATACACTTGCTACACGTCACATAAAACGTTCAAAAATGTCAATATGTGGGAGTAAGAGAAGAGCAGACATATGGATAAATCTGACGATGCAAGAGAGAACTCAACTCGGTCTGGTTTTCTGAGCGCAGACACTGATGCACACACACACAGAAAGCGCCTCTCACAGCGCGCGAGTACTCTTTCGCGTCGCATGAACGGAGAATTGCGCACAAAATGATGTCGAATTGTCCGTTTTGACGAGTGTTGGGGTCTGTCATGATAAAACCTTAATATCAAACCTATATAAATAGAAATGCATTACACTGTAACTAAACCCATTAGATTTGAGCAGACTAAATTTACTGTAGATTCACTCGACTAAATCTTATGATATTCAGTCGACTAAAACTAGACTAAAACTAAATCAGAATTTGCTGTCAAAATTAACACTGGTGTGTGTGTATATATATATATATATATATATAATTCAGATTCAGCTTATGTGTGTCTTTCTTACTGCATTTTCTATTTTAGGTATGCTGACCATCACAGATTTCATCAATATACTTCATCGCTATTACAAGTCTCCTCTGGTAAGTCTGCTCTTCCCATTGAAGTTTTTAATCAGGTTTTTTGATGAATGTTTAAAGATTTCATGCATTTGTGTCTGTTTTAGGTGCAGATATATGAGTTAGAAGAGCACAAAATAGAAACATGGAGAGGTGGGAATGATGTTCATGTGTATTCATGTGAGGTTTACTCTCTGATATGTCAGCCTATGACTGATCTGTTCATTTTCTTATAGAGGTCTACTTACAAGATTCCTTCAAACCTCTCGTCAGCATATCGCCCAATGCCAGGTAAGTTTGTAAGAGTGCAGATTGAATGGGTTTTGTTAGAGAGTTGCGATGACGTCTGATGTTTTTTTCACTCTGTCTCAGCTTATATGATGCAGTTTCATCTCTACTGAAGCATAAGATCCACAGATTACCCGTCATTGATCCTCTAACAGGAAACACACTCTACATCCTGACACACAAGAGGATCCTCAAATTCCTGAAACTCTTTGTAAGTTTCCTGCCCTGTAAATACTCACTGAATGTTTCCTGGGCTTCATTAAATTAAGTATAGACATTCATTTATTTGGTAATGGTGTGTCACAGAGTGGTTACTGTAATTCTGTCACAACTTTTTAAGCAACTATTGCTAAATTTCCCCTTTACTCTTCTATTGGCACAACTTGGAATATTGTTTTCTTTCTAGAAACAGTCTTCATGTTTAAGTTATTGTCCTCTCCCAGATATCTGAGATGCCCAAGCCTGGGTTTCTGTCTCAAACTCTGGAGGAGTTGAACATCGGAACGTTTCACAACATCGCAGTGGTTCACTCGGATACGCCGCTCTACGCCGCGCTCGGCATCTTCGTGGATCAGAGAGTTTCTGCCCTTCCTGTGGTGGATGAAAATGGTGAGTGGAAATTAATGTTCTTTTTTTATATATTATATTATAAATTACAAATCTGTGGTTTTGATTTTTTTCCCCCCTCCTCATTGGATGTGTTTTCATGGTTTCTCCCTCTCGTTTATTCTGACAGGGCATGTGGTTGACATCTACTCCAAGTTTGATGTTATAGTAAGTCTTGTGTGTTTGTTGTTTCTAACTTGCGCGGTGGACATTGAGCTGTGCTGGTGGAGTTAGATCATTGAATGTGTGTGTGATGGTGTTTCTGTTTTGATTGGACTTGGTGTGTGTTTAAAGCCTCTGGTGTTTGTTGTATTGATCAGCTTGAGTGAATGCAGCCACTACAGTTCATGATCTTTTTTTTTTTTTTTTTTTTTACATTATGTACTTAATTTAAAATCTTAAAGGAATAGTTCACCCAAAAATGACAATTTTGATCCAAGATGTAGATGAGTTTGTTTCTTCATCAGATTTGGAGAAATGTAGCATTGCATCACTTGCTCAGCAATGGATGCTCTGCAGTGAATGGGTGCCGTCAGAATGAGAGTCCAAACAGCTGATAAAAACATCACAATAACCCACACCACTCCAGTCCATCAGTTAACATCTTGTGAAGCCAAAAGCTGCGTGTTTGTAAGAAACAAATCCATCAAGACGTTTTTATCTTCAAACTGTTGCTTCCGTTGCCAAAATACGAGTCCATAATTCATAAAAACGCTTCCAGTGAAAAAGTCCATCTCTTGTTGTCCTCTCACATCAAAATCCACCCACATATTAGTTTAGAGCTGTTTTGGCTTGTGCTTGATCTGTGCATATTTCTCTCCTGTTTCAAACAAGACGGCTCACTAGAGAAAGCAACCTTATGGATAGATATTTACATTTTTGGGTAAACTATTCAACAACATATTTTCAAAATGAATAAGGCACCCATTTAGTTGAATGACGTGTGTGTAAGTCTCTTTGTTGGATCTCTCTGCATATGTTTGTGTTTCAATCTGGTTTTCATGTCATCACACAGAATCTGGCAGCTGAGAAGACATACAATAACCTGGACATCACTGTGACTAAAGCCCTCCAGCATCGCTCGCAGTATTTTGAGGGTGTGCTCACCTGCCGAGCCAATGAGACGCTAGAGGCCATTATCAACCGACTGGTGGAGGCCGAGGTGAGGAACACATTCTGTTCAAATGTTTGGGGTCTGTAGGATAAAAAAAAAAAGAAGTCTTTTCTGCTTTTTTAAACTTGAATTGGAGAACATTTTCACGTTTATTTTAACATCAGGTTCTATTATTTGAAGTCTGATTTGGCTGTATTAATTTCTTTGGCTCTAAAATGTTTCAAACTTAAAAACAGAATCACATTTATATTTCTAATTTCCCACTGAACTAATTTTGCATTATCAGCTATCTGATAAACTTTTCAACCAGTTTTTAATAAACATCTAAGCAAACGTCTTGTGTAAAAGTCATGTATGACAACAAACACTTGCCATATTTACATCACAAAGTTCTGAAGAAAAAATGTAGGAAAACCTGTATTTATTACCATTTAATAATTACCCATGTACATGATTGGAAGCTGAAATTCCTGAAAAGTCTCTCCATGTAGATTTGGGAAACACACTCGGATTACACGGGTCTGCTGTGAGGTCAGAGGATCGAGGAAACTTCCTTATGCTAAACCGGGACTAAGACTGTTTGCACAGCTGTAAATCACACTGTCGCCATCGTTTAGCTGTTATAATCAGCCAGGCGACAGACGTCTCGCTTCAGCAAGTGGATGAGAGGGAGCAGATGTTTATGAAGCCCAAATCCTGCCAGCAACAACACGCTTTCTGGAAACTAGAAACATGTACAAACTGAACTGAACAGTAGAAACAAATACAGATCAAACCAGACCTCTTACTCCCAATTCAAGAAGATTTCCCATAAGATACGGACAGATTTCTCAATCAGCAGCCGACGTGCCAGTGTCGTCTTATATTTCTCAGTAGTGTCAATCCAGTGTTACAAACACATTTCACATGATAGCTTGTCATTCTGGATCTAAATAACATGAAAATAGATGAAAGCATTAACATGTTCTTCCAACTAATATGCAATCACTTTTGGCTTTTTCTGGACATTTTAGTGTAAGGTGACTGAATTGTTGCAAATGGACGAAGGAGAATAACAGTACTTATTCAGATTGTCAAAACACAGAGTCTAGACATCAATCCAGTGAAACTGGGAGATAAAATAAAAGACCACAGACTAAAACCCCTGTACAGCTGCTTCAAAACCTACTGTTAAAAGCGCTATACAAATAAACCTGAATGAAAACACATTAAAAAACAAAACACAACCACACAACTGTCTACTGAATTAAATCTGATTAATAAAAAAGGTCATACATTATAGAAACTATATTTACATCTTGCATATTAAGCGGAGAGGGACAGAAGGGCAGTAGTATTTATCCATGGAGTATGAGAGAGACATAATGTCTGCCAGGAGTCATAAATACAGTGTAATAGGAGTAAAGCGGTGCGCTTCGACGCCAAACTTTTCAAGTCAAGTTATATTTTCAAGTCGTTCTTCTCATTACAGACACAGTGCATGAAGAAGAATCAGATCGATTTCCTAGAATCACGTCGCAACTTCACTTCACATGCAAAAATCCTAAAATCCTGTCATTATTCACCCTCAGGCTGCTTCAAACCTGCATTACTTTCTTTCTAGCATTGGACAAGTTCATGCAACCTTTTGATTTACAATTAAATTGCATGAATTCTGTGCATCAAGCTCCAAAACAAAACAAAAAAAAGACTAAAAAGTATCATAGATGTAGTTCATATGAATTCAGATGACTCTGAACATAGCATAAAGTCATACTGATCCTTTATGGGGAGTTTTCAAAAATTTTTGAGTGCAGCTTGCACATTCTTCTCAATATCTCCTTCTGTGTTTTACATTAAAAATAAATGATGAGTATTCTTATGTTTGCATGAATTATTCCTTAAAAACAAGAGCTTAAAGTCCATACAAAACAATCCCAAACACTCCTCAGCTAATAAAATGTGCATCCTTTTAGTGTCATTTAATGCTACAGTCAAAAGCAACAAACAGGTAACTATAAAAACAAACTTTAACAAAAGCCTGTAATTTCGCCACCGCTATTTACGGACCGCTAACCCGTACAGCTTCAAATCTCTGATGTTCCTGGATGTCAAAACACGATTAAACCTTTAGCTTAGTTGAAGGGCTTGGAAATAAAAAAAAAAAAAAAGGGTAAGCTATTTACATTTCCATACTTTAAAAAAATATACTATGTACAGTAGCTTTGTTTGCCCATGGAGGAGAGGAGGAAATCTAATGGTGATAAAAAAATAAGGACAATATGAAGGATCTACAAGCTAAAATAAATAGATATCTCCGTACCGTTCAGTAGTAAGAATAGACGCGTGTGCCAGTGAGCGATTCCAAAACCAAGATGGCTATAATCCACGTCACGCTCACAAAACCTCTGGGATAAAGTGCAAATAAGGTTGTTTTGCTAACAGCTTTGACGTGGTAATGAAAGGAATCAGCTGATCGTGTCGGTCGCTAGCAGTGCCATCTTGCACCAAATCACCGCGCGAGTTTTCCAGCTTAACCCGCCTGTTATCGCCTCTGAACTGGAGTTTGTGTATTCCACCTACTTAGTTAACCGAGGTAGTCTGCTAGACTGATCTAAATGAATGCACCAAGCCAGTCAAAACTGGTTACATATGAGCGGCCCTGGTTGGAAAAATGATCTTTGGGGCGAAACTGATTTGAACAGAATCAATAAAGTCACGTGCATTTTGATTGGCGAGCTGGGCGGTAGTAGATGTAGAGAGGAGGAGGAGTGCACAGAGGGCTGTTGGGTACCGTAGGTTCAGTAGTTTTGGCGGTGGGGTGAGGTAGGCCCCGTCCCGATTCAGTGGACGGAAATACTTTTGAACTGGCAGGATAGTTTCGAGATGTCGCATGTCTGTACACGTTCTTTTTGCTTGGAGTGTTTCTGGCAGAAGGTAGTGTTTCGCTCAGATTTTCATGTCTTCGTCCACGCTGAGCTGAGACAGGGTTTTCTTGATGCGGAGAGCCGTCAGTCGCGCAGCGCCGTTAGCGTACCAGCACTCCCGCATGATCTTCCCCATCACACGCAACGCCTGCGGGAACAAGAGCCAATTTACCATGCGAGTTCATATCATAGCCAACAGGCTTTTTGTTTTAATGTAATAATGTAGCACTTCTGACAAATAGGGTGTCACAATCCTTTAAGTCAATAATTGCACAAACAAAATAAAATTACTGTTAAATGACAAAGCAGCAATCATTTTCTGTCAATTAAGTTTGATCAGATTTTCTAAATCAACAGATGTTGTCAAACTCATTCATCCCTGTATCCTGTTACTCTAAAGTTATTTAGGAAAAAATATTTCTTTATTTGATATAAAAAGACTATATATAAGTTGATAAATTATATATATATATATATATATATATATAAATAAAATTAATATATTTATAATGAAAAAATTATATATTATTAATAACACACACATATATACAAATTTAAATCATTATAGTTAAACTACATATTTTATATAAAATATAAATATGTAAAAACATTTTATATTATATTTATATATATTTTAAAATCTATATACTTATTTGTATTGTTTATTTCTAGTAAAAATAGAAAATGCAAAAATAAAATTGCTCATTTAATATTTTAATTAATAATATTAATTATTCATGAAGTGGACAAACAACACTTCCTGAAGTTTTAAGCACTTCTTTTACGTTTTACTGAAGTCTTTTACTGAACACCAAAAATTAGAATTTTTTTTTTGAAATTGCAGAACTCAACACTCCCTTCCTAATCTGAAAAGAACATAAATAAAAGAGCAAAAGCAGGCAGTTCAGAAATCACCATATTTGCAAAGATATACCAGGCTATTTTAAGTGGACTTCAGATAAAAATGAAAATGAAGAGAAGTCCAGTATAGCAGCTGTAGAGGATCTCTCTCTCTCACCTCATAGCTCTGCCACCAGTTGGGGATGTTGGGTCGTAACCTCTGATCACACACCACTTTCCTCATCTCCTCTATGGATGGGTCAGAGGGCACCAGGTCATAGTAGGGCAGCTGGTACTCTTCATGAATACCTGAATGCAAACAAAACATAAATAAGAACAAAAATTATTCTCAGTTGAACTTTTAACTTAAAGACCTAGCGTACCAGCACTCCCGCATGATCTTCCCCATCACACGCAACGCCTGCGGGAACAAGAGCCAATTTACCATGCGAGTTCATATCATAGCCAACAGGCTTTTTGTTTTAATGTAATAATGTAGCACTTCTGACAAATAGGGTGTCACAATCCTTTAAGTCAATAATTGCACAAACAAAATAAAATTACTGTTAAATGACAAAGCAGCAATCATTTTCTGTCAATTAAGTTTGATCAGATTTTCTAAATCAACAGATGTTGTCAAACTCATTCATCCCTGTATCCTGTTACTCTAAAGTTATTTAGGAAAAAATATTTCTTTATTTGATATAAAAAGACTATATATAAGTTGATAAATTATATATATATATATATATATATATATAAATCAGAAATCACCATATTTGCAAAGATATACCAGGCTATTTTAAGTGGACTTCAGATAAAAATGAAAATGAAGAGAAGTCCAGTATAGCAGCTGTAGAGGATCTCTCTCTCTCACCTCATAGCTCTGCCACCAGTTGGGGATGTTGGGTCGTAACCTCTGATCACACACCACTTTCCTCATCTCCTCTATGGATGGGTCAGAGGGCACCAGGTCATAGTAGGGCAGCTGGTACTCTTCATGAATACCTGAATGCAAACAAAACATAAATAAGAACAAAAATTATTCTCAGTTGAACTTTTAACTTAAAGACCTTCAAGTGCTTTTCTGTTCAATATTCCTTTTGAAACATGGTTTCAATTTATTTCAGCACCTCCAGCATTGCAGCGGCGAGCGATTTCCCAGTACACGAGTCCCAGAGCGTAGATGTCAGCGCATTTAAATGAGTCGAAGTGACGCATGTTAATAGTCTCTTCCAGAACCTCAGGTGCCATGTACCTGAAACACACACACACACAAACAGGATCACTGAAAGAACATATATTTGAAAACACAAACCACTGACCGTATGACAAGACGTTTTAGATCAGATTATTGTAACATCTATGTTTGTATGTGTGTTTTTCTTGGCTGTTAGGTCTGTCAGTAATGTACTCTGTACCTCTTAGTGCCGACACGCTGGTTGGGGGCGATATCGATGGTGTCGGAGACAGACTCGTGACGAACCGCCAGGCCGAGATCAGCGATTGCACACGTGCAGTTTTTCTTCACCAGGATGTTCTTGGACTTCAGGTCACGGTGAGCGATGCCAGGCTTCCCTGCCGACCAAAACAAAACCATTACAGCTACATACACACATCTGGTATAAACTCTCTGACCACAGAAGAAAAGTGTTCCACACCCTCATGAGCACCCACATACACAATATTTTTAGGCATCACGACCGTTTCAAACAGTGGGCTGTCTTAAGTCACCATTGCACGTATCCTTCAAAGATATGACCAGCCCAGAATGCATTCCAGATGGCAGATGGAGTCAAGGGAATCTTTGATTTTAAAAATATTCGATTCTGTTCTGAAAAGTATTGATTAAAAATTGTTTATCGACCCAATATTTGTGTGCTCTCCATGTCGGTGTTTATTAGAGTCATTAACGTCAGATTCTCCTGGAATCGACTGTGAGTGTTCAGTTAACTTTTCTTGCAATTCACTTTAGGAATGCTGATAAATACCAAAAATCAGCTTACTGAAGAAATGACCTGTTTTACTGGTTTACATACAAACCAATAACCTTTTTTTTTTATTTATTTTTTTATTAATATTAGTTCATGTTACGGTCAACAAAACATAACAATTTGTGTATCTGACTTGGAGTATTCCATTTTACAAAAATCGAATAACACGGACACACTCACCCTGAGTGCCCAGTATCTCCATGTGCAGATGCGCCAGGCCGCTGGCAGCCGAAAGCGCCAGTTTGATCATGCCCTCGATGGTGACTGAATATCGGTTCAGATAGTCGAACAAGGATCCATTCTCATGATAGTCTGACACCAACCACAACTGAGTCCATGTGCCATTATCTGTGACAGAGAGAATGAAACATTATTAAACCTAGATGACAACACTATGCATACTACTGTATAAAACTGCTCAGTACAGTGCAATGCACATTAGTTTACCTTTGTTGTCAGCAGCAATGAAGCCCAGGATGTTCTCGTGGCGGAGCATGATGGTCTGGTAGATTTCAGCTTCACGAAACCAGGAGCGCTCCTCACGAGAGGAGAAGATCTTCACGGCGACGTCTCCTCCTCTCCACTTCCCCCTCCACACCTCCCCAAAGCGGCCTTTACCAATGATCTCCTGCAGCACTATGGTACGAGCCACTGTCCTCTGGACGAACAGCGGCAGACCTGCAACAGAGAGTGAGATGGAGAGAGAGAAAGGCTTTATCAAACCACTGATAATATGCTGAAGGAGAAGATTCAGTAAATTATTAGTGAGCCACTAAAATGTCAAACTCTTCTTCACACAAAACATCACATGATTTCTGAAGACTGGGAATACAGGGCACAAGCAGGGTTATTATAGTTAACTAAAAGTGAAACTGTTAAAGACAATTAGGACAAAATAATATATAAATATTAAGACGAAAAAGTTGAATTATACAAAAATTAGCTATCTGAAACAAGTTTACATTGAAGCACTAAAATTACATACTGGAAATAAATAAAAACTAGAACTTAAATTAAAATAAATTAAACCTAAATGGTAATATAAAAAAAACAAAAACAAAAGCACATAAAATTACTAATATCTCACCTACAACTAAAATGAAATAAAATAAAAACTAATTCAAAAAAAAAAAAAAAACAAGACTGTGCAAAAGTAGAAAAACATCTAAAATACTATTCCATAATGTAGGATGTATCATGGAGTTTTTTCATCCCGAACTCCATGTGACATCACATTAAGCTACAAAAATTAAACTGGATTAAGCTACTAAAACTGAGAAAAAAAAAAAAAAGAGATCAAAATCACAATGTGATTTATGCATGTTACATCAGGGTTATTATTGTTTTGTTAACTGAAATAACGCTGAAATAAAATAAAAATATGAACATTATATGGAAGAACTAGAAAAACAAATGAAATATTGCAACTAACTGAAATAAGCTTAGGTTGAAGCACTAAAATTACTAACTGGAAGAAAAAAAATTTATGACTAAAACAAATAAAAATATATTAAACCTAACAAACTTAAAAATATATTAAAACAACAAAAAAGCATAAGTACATAAAAAAACTCAAATTAAACTTAAAACTGAAAATATAAAAATAAAAGCTCATTCAAAATAATAATAAAACTTTAATGGTATCTATCTATGTATTTATCTAAAAAAAAATAGAAAACTAAAAGTAAAACGTAAAGAAGAAATGTTGACTTGGCAACTATAATGTTGAAGAAGTAAAGCTGAAAAAAAAAAAAACTAAATAATAAAACTATAATAGTACATAAACAATACTAAAATAACACTATTGTATACATGCATAAACAAACCATCCAGCACACTTTCTTCTGCGATACTAACCTGACCCTGATCCCGAGGTGGAGAGGTCGTAGATGAGGTCCTGTAAGGTCTTGTCCTTAGCCAGGAACATGTGTTCAGTGCTGGGATCCTCTACCTCCAGTCTCTGCCGGTGACCGTAGGCCCGCTGGTGGTGCTGGAAGAGGACGAGACCCAGCAGAACCAGCACACACAGCACAAAGACCGGACCCACCACTACTGCAGTGAGCTCCACCGGCCCCCAGTCCTGCCCTGAACCCGGGCCGTTTGTCACTGACAGAGAACACGCTGCATTAGTTCCTCATCTGGAATTCACTAATTGTTTTTGCTATTGATTAAAATACTGATGCTCACCGGTTGGTAGTCTGAGGTCGATGCTGTTGCAGTAATCAGAGTAGCAACAGTGTGTGTTCATCAGCCCCTCGGCGCTGAGGCAGTAGAACGGCTGACCCGGAGGAACCAGGTCCTCTTTCTGGATGCAGAGCCGCACATGCTGCTCCTGTCCTTTAATGACTGAGGTGGAGGCCACACACGCCCCGTTGGTCTCGCACTTATACCCATCCTTCTCACACTGTGGTGCGGTGCAGTTACAGAACAGAGCTGCAGAGAGAATCAAAAATATACGTTACATGTATACATTAACACTATAATATACATTAAGTAAGAAATAATTGATGACGGGCCATTGAATTGCAGTGGATGGAGCAGCAGATGTGTCTTTTCAACAGCAGGGGGTGACAGAGATCAGTCACAGAGTCATATACTGTGTGCACCAAGCAGCATCACATTTATTTTGTTTTAGAATGTCATTTTTATATAGATTACAACTGAATAAATTATAATTATTATATTATGTACCATTTATAAACAGTGGACACAATTTATTACTTTTATATTTTTAATAAAATCTTCTCTATAATCTTTCATCTGAATGCCTCTAAAACAACTTTCATTATCGGCTTGCAAGACAATAAGTTTCTGAGGGTGATCATTAGGGCTGGGTTTTGACACAAATTTCACGATTCGATTCGATTCTCATTCACAAGCTTGCGATTCG